AAATTTTTTTGCTCTTCGTTTCTTTTTTTAAGACTTTTCCTGTGCAATAATTTCGCTGCGTCCTATTGTTAAATAAAAGTTCAGTTGTGTCCCTGTACAAATTTTATATATGTATGCATCCATGCTTTACTATTCCAATAATAGTAAACTGGAAATGTATCTTTTTTAATCCCTCTTGATGGTTGAGGGTTTCATATTTATGAATAAATAAAGGAAATAGCTTTTCAGTACTAGTTGCGTTACAAGTTAACGATATTATTGTTCTTTCTTTATTCAACTTTAAACATGGGATGGGGGCTGTTGATAATCCGTGACTTGGTTCCATTTTCCAAAAGACCTGTCTCATCGCAATTAAAAATGCCCTCTTTTCTGTAATTTTTATAAACACCTTCAATTTTTCTCTCATTCCAGGAATCTGTTCAATAGGTGCACTTTTATATTCCTCGTGTTTATTCTTTAATCAAACATCCCTGCTTGAATTTATCAAGCCAACGAGATGATGCTTTAAAAGTATTTTTATCCAATGACTGCAAATTTTATTGGATAACGTTACCTGTAATCGTTACATTACATTAGAGTGCTTTCTGGGTCATAAAATTAAAGCATCTTCAACATTAGCAACAAGAAGTATGTGCTTTTTTTAATTTTGCTTGATGAGAATTTGGATCCATCTATTAGACTCTTTCAATATATCATCAACTTGGCTTGTGCTAATTCAATATTCTTTGGTCTAGGTTCAATAAACATAACTCGCGCTTTTGTTCAGCAGTAATATATACACGTTTTTTGGAAAAGACATTTATAATTTTGTAGAATTTAAAGAAATTAAAAAAAACTATTAATTGTATATAGATATTTATTTATTATCAATTTTAAAAGAAAATTTCATCTTTATTTATACATTTAGAAGAGACTTGAATATTTAATTAAAATGTGCGTTGCAAATAAAAAATATTATTTGCATATTTTTAACGGATAATTTAGAGTTAAATTTCATCACTTTCCTCTAAACATAATTAAGCACCTTCAACCATGCAATATAGGGATAATTCGTTCTTTTAAGGTTTGTATTAAATTATTTACATTTATAACAATGTATTTACAGTCTAATGTTTATTGTAAAATTTTTGATAAGGAACAAAACCATTTAGATCCGAAAGAAATTGGCATTATAAAGGCAATAAATTTTGTTGGATTAATAATTGCTGGATAAAAACTGGTATTATTCCTTTAGATTATGAAGAACAAATCGGAAATGCAACAAAATTAACACAAAATATTATAAATTATCAAAGAGACGATGTTGATAACTTAACTGATAGATTAAATTTCAGTTCAGCATTAAAAACAGAGGAATATATACCAATTGATGATGACGAGATTAATGAAGAAATTCTTGGTTCTTTTGGTCAAATTGAAGAGGAAGATGTTATTGTAAGTAATACAATTATTTCTATTGTTTCAATAAATGAAGCTGAAAAAGCTTTTGAAACTGCTGCTTTTAATTCTTTTGAACAAAATAACGTACAAACAGATTATGACGAATTAAAAGCTTTAAAATCATTGAAAAAAAAAATATAATCATAGTAGTCGCGGGACATTGCAGATCAAGTGTCATTCAATATAAACGTTACACAAATAAAATTATTATCGTCCACTTCAAA